CCCATGTTGCAAGGATCTGTACACAATTCCTGGAAGCTGAAAACATCCCGTTTATAATGCGTTTATAATTTTGTTCAGTGTATGTATATATATATATATATATATATAAGCATGTATACGCCGTATGCGTACTTTTTGCCCAGGGCTGTTTGCTTATTACGACTTGTCCGCAATCTACTGTCATGTTAGCTTCCCCTTTAACTGTGTTTCATGCTTTTGTGTGAAGCTTGCGATTCTTTGTTGTAATTGGTGCATTATTACTTCTCGTGCTTAAGTATTGGTTGGTAAAATAAATTAAAGAACAAAACATATAAGGAGAAGTGACATAACTGAAAAAAGCACACCCAAGGTGGCAGTGCAGCCATGACACAAAACAACTACTGTCGCATCTTACTAACAGCCTAGCCTCTGATACTAATTACAAAGCATCATTTTAGATCAAGTAATTGCACCGTTGCTATGCAGTTGATGTGAATGTGAATTACTGCATATGTGCAGCTTTCCTAACCTATTTTATTGATAGTCCCTTGCCCTTAAATGTCTTGTGTGAGAGAGAGACAGAAGCACTGACCACAGACTGGTGGTTGTAAAACTGATGCCAAGTGTAATAATAATCCGTTTCAGGCCCGGTTCTACTGCGGTGAAAGAAAGCAATAGCACCCTCAGGGGAAGCAGTAATAATATCATATGGCGAAACTGATCTGGCAAGCTATCCAGTCCGTATTTGTGTTCTGTGGAGTGTCAAAGGTTCCTATTTACAACGTATTTTTGCAGCGTTGAGCAATGTCTCAACGCAGACTGTTGATTTCTTGAAAGCAATGGCCAATCAGAGGCATTTAAGTTAGAATCCACTCACTGCTCAAAACACCTGAGTTTTTGTTCAGTGCTAAACAACAATACAAGCTAAAAAATAATTTTGAAAAGAAAAATGTTAGGCATCAAATTATAAGTATATCCTAAATATAAATTATTTTTAAATGAAATAATAGGCTTTTATATCGACACTGTATTAAAGCAAAAAGCAAATATAAGAAAATATTATCTGGAAATATGTTTCATTTTTTTCTTACCTACTTGCATAAAATGAAACATTAAATTTATATATATATATAAAGCACTTTTCACGATGAATATAATCCCAAAGACCTGCGACTACTTAAATCATGCAGTAGACTACTTGAAAAATAATCTGTAAACCAATTTTAGTGCAAGTACAAGGCTTTCGGTTCGGTACGCATTACAAACCGAACGA